CAGACACTGGTCACACTGTGTGGAGCCTGCCCTCACAGCAGACACTGTTGGCACATGTGTTCCACGTTGCCAGTCTCTCCTAGCAGAGGCAGGAGGGACAGAACCACACATTGGGGGCAGAGTTGGAGGTGACCAGAATGCATGGATAGGAGGTAGAAAGTGGGAATGTAGAAAAGTGTTTTCTGGAGAGAAGGGGAAGTTTATAGATAGATGTTCTTTGTTCACATGAGAGTCTTGTTTGTGGGACACCCTGGTAGCAAGCTGAAGAGTCTGTTCCATTTTACCATTTAATCTTAGCTGTGAACTGGGGAAGCACAGATGCAGCCTGCTCTAAATATATGAAAGCCCTGATTCTCTTTGAGCTTTGTTCTCTTAACGTCATCTAAATTCACATCAGCAACACGTAGGGAGATATGAAGAGTAGTCTTAACACCTCCCCCAAAGCACAGCCTAGCGACAGTAAAAAAAAAAAAAAAAAAAAAAAAAAAAAAAAAAAAAAAAAAAAAAAATGAAGAGGAAATACCTTTTAAAGTCAAGAAAAGCTCAGACTCAGTAATTATATACAAAGTGAAACAAACAAAAGTTATGTTCGCTCTATCTCTATACCATTAACTGAATGTTAACTTATTGGCATCTAGCAGAAACCATCTGCTATTTTATAGAGGTCCCAGAGTTGGAAGAGCCTTGAAGGGCTTGTATCCAACTTCCTCCTTGTTCCACAATTGAGGAAACCCGTGGCCCAGAGAGGCCGAGTCCAGCCGTCCCGTCAAAGCCCTCTAATGAGACTTCGGAGTGCATTTTTCATGCTGGTGATTAGAAGAGACCTGTGGTACCTTCCGGCTGTACTGGGCATTAGTGAATTGGAACACCCACCTCCCCACGCCAGCATCCCCACACATCCACACGTTTGTGAAGTGGGGAGCTACCGACCAAAGCGGCTTCTCTCCCAAGAGAAGCTAGCCGTTCTGAAACGACCGGACCGTCAGCCGTGCTGAGTCGAAATGGGATCGCCTGGCCCAAGAACTGTTAAATAACGACACAGCTGTCATCCACAACAGTTACCAAGACTCAGGTAGCATCTGGACCCAAAGCCAAGAGGTCCCTAAGTCCCACAGCAGGCATGGAGGCAGAGCAGGCTTTCAAGCCTTCTCGGGGACTACTGAGAAGCCTCCCGGTGATGGGCGGGAAGATTCCCTTAGGAAGCCACGATGCGCGGTGAAGGAGGGCAAATGGCCACAGCCTTCCCGGTCCCTCGGCCAGAGACTGGGGCTCCGCGGCGCGCACCGCGGACGGGCACACGTCCTGCAGGGAGGCCCCTGGCCGCGGCCGCGGGGACGGAGAGGGGAGTCTGCAGCCTCTCGGCTAGACCCCGCCCCAGCTCCTGCCCGCGCCTATCGCGGCCGGCGAGCTGGTCACGCGGGGGAGCGCCGCGGGCGGGCGGCCAGGGCCGGCGGGGCCCGAGCGGCGGCGGCCGGGCGGGGCGGGCGGAGGTTAGAAATAGACAGCGCGGGCCGCGCCAGGCAGCCGCCAGCCCCGAGCACGCCGCGCAGCGAGCGGCCGCACTCGCACCCGCACCCATGCTGCTGACGCTGGCCAGCGGCGCGCTCTTCTTCCCGGGGCTCTTCGCGCTCAGCACCTGGGCGCTGCGCCGCTCGCGGCCCGGATGGACGGAAGACGACCGCCTGACGGTCGGCACCAGGTACCGCGGCCCGGCGGGGCGCCGCCCTCCGCTCCGGGCCTGCGCGGGCCTGCGGGCGGAAAGGGGGCGCCGGGAAGCGCCCCTCGGTGCGGGCTGGGCCTGGGCGGGAAGGGCGTGTGCGTCTCCCCGCCTGCTGCCCCCGCTCTAGGCATCGCGGCGCCATGGCCCGGGAGGGCGTCTCCGCCCGGGAAAGGCAGGTTGGAGAGTCGGGCTTTGTGCTGTCCGCAGTCCTGGAGTAAGAAGCTCTCTTTGGTCTCCCTTCTCTGCCCCACCTCAGGCTGGTGTCCTCGGTGCAGGCAGTGCTGGCCACCGGGGCGGGGCTCACCATCATCATCTCCTGCCGCAACGTGGTCTCAGACAGGTAAAGTCCCATCATCCCAGGTGGGAAGTATGAATCCCCGGCTGAGGGATTCCCCCTCCCAAGTGTCCACATTTCAGTGGCTCACAGGCCCCAATTCCTTGTCATGCTGTGGTGTGTGTGACTGCCTGGTGGGAAACCCAGTGCACCCTTATTAGTGCCCTCCTCTTGCTGCCTGCAACACCCCAGCTGAGGAGAACCGAGGGGAGAGTGGAGAATGCTAGAGAGCAAGAGACTGAGCCCGGCTTAAAGCTGCGGCGTTAGAGGACAGTGCGGCCTGACGGTCCCTCTTTAGAAGTGGGAGTATAGCTTTTGGTTCTTTTAAAGGCTCTCACTGGGTTCTCCCTCTGGAACATTCTTCAGCAGAGTTAGTAGCATTGTGTGTGGCCAACCCCTTCTACTGACAGAAGTCCACCCTCCCTTTCCCTGCAGATGCTGCTCTGGCTTTTCTCCTTTGCTAAAGATAATGAAGAGGTTTCTTGTGCCTTCAGAAACCTGACATGTTTGTGCACAAAGTCAGGCCAGAAAGTGAACATCTGTGGCACTTCAGTGAGATAAATCATAAACAAAGAGCAGGATGGGCTCTGCTGGTTAGACGTGGGTAGTGGTGGTGCTTTTCTGTCTGTAGACCTGACTAGCATGGACTGTGGCAGGCCAACGTCTGTCTCTCAAGGCCGGAAGAGCACATGAATGCCTCCACACCAAGATGCTTTTATTACTTATCTTCCCACTGGGGCTCTCAGAACCTGGCTTTTTCTTTCAGAAAAGCTAAAGGGTGACAGACAGGTATCCAGAGAACGTTGGGTGGCCTTTCCTGATTTCCCACCCTGCCATGTCCTGTTTCCCTGCTGGAAGAGGAACCAGAGAGAATGAGACTGTCTCCTCGTGGCTTGGAATCTTACTTGGGTGTGATTATGCTGGCATCACTTCATGATTTTTCTCTTCCGTCTCTTCTTTTGGAGACAGGGTGTCATGTAGTTTGGACTGTCCTTGAACTCGCAGATATCCACCTGCCTCTACCTTCTCAGTGCTGGGATTAAAGGTGAACACCACCATACCCGTTCTTGATAGTTATTTTACCTGAAATGTCTCTAAGCATCAATGAATCCATTGATGGGCATTAGAATAGGTGTTGAATTTTTTGGGCCAGATACAAGAAGCTAGCTAATTGGTGTGCCTACAGGTCTATTATACGTGCCATCATTATTTATTTGCCTGTTTCATTCTTCTTTAATTGAGCCACGCTGTGATAAATGCGGAGTTACTCAGGAACAGGCTCTCATATGGTACTCTCTCTAGATTCCTGGTGTTGTAGTTCAGTGGACCGGCTCCTTGGGAAATCCCTTAGGACAAGGTGAAAAGTACAGACTTGATTCTAGACATGGCTTTAGTCTCTGGGAGCAGAGTGCCTCACAAGCCTGTAGGTGGCTGATGCTTAGGGCAGTTTGAGAAGGTATGGCAGTTTTGCTCTTTAAACATAACCGCTCAAAAATTTGCAAAGTCCAATCCTCCCCAGTATAGAACAGACTCCAGTTTGAATGTTTCTTTATATGAAGTATTTGTGGGATGTTGGTCAGTGCTGACATAGTCTTTCCTGTGGATCCCAGAACAGTAACGAACCATCATTTTGGCCCAGCAAATGTTTTGCTCCTACTGGACATATGTGCCCAAAATCAGGCCAGGAAATGGACCTCTTTTGTCCCAGCCTCTTTTGTTATTTAGTGCTGTGATGTGGTCCTTGAAGTCCAGGCCAATATCTAGACACTTTTAACATTCTAAAGTAAATGGTATGTGCGCCAAGCTGTGCTTGTGGGTTCAGACAACTTGCAGGAGTTCTCTGCTTCCACGTGGACCCTGGAGATGAACCTGAGAGCCCATTAGGCTTAGTGGACGCATCTTAACCCCCTGGGCCATCTAGCTGGTCCCAGTTAGGAATGAACGGAACCCAGGATTAACTATACATTTGGAAATAACACGGTCAGGACTGCTTCCTACAAACTGGCTACAATGGTGCCTGGAGAAGCAAGAGAAAATGTGTAGTTCCGGAAGCTCTCAGAAACTCCCAACTGTTGAGCAACTGAGGAGTTAAACTGGAAAGGTTGGACTTGTGATTTAGAACACCTTCCAAACCAGTTCCTTGGTGGAGCTGCTGAATCATTTGGAAATTGATTTCCATCAAAGTTAGTTTCTATCAAAATGCTCCAAGTCTACTGTAATAAGTAGCTCAACTAGGCAAGTAGTTACAGCAAACTAACTGTAGGATTCCTGCTTCTCCACCCTTCGCCCTTATGAATTTGCTTTGTGGTTTAGGGACACTTTCCTTGGCAAACCCCCCCCCCCCATTCATTGTGAAGTGTTCAGAGCAGTCACAACTGATTGAGAACAGAACTGAAGGGAGCCAGGGAAGAGATTGGCTTTCTGCTTCAACATTGACCTCGTGGTTAAGGGTCTGCCCCTCTGCTTTCTTCTAGGCACTGGCTTGCCAGAGAATATGTCTGGTTTTTGATTCCATACATGATCTATGACTGCTATGCCATGTACCTCTGCGAATGGTGCCGAACTAGAGCCCAGAAACTCAGACGTGCCACCATTTTCCGCAACTTCCTGATTGAAAACCGCCTCATGGTCACACACCATGCGGTCATTCTGTTTGTCCTTGTCCCTATTTCCCAGGTATGGCCTCTTGGGAAAGCAGCCTCAGTTGGCCACTCTGCCATTGAACTGGGGCTACCTCTTAGGAGCTGGAGAGCACTCTTTCTTTTGTTCTACATGTGCCCTCCTTCTGCTAAGTGCTTCACTGAGTCTCCCAGGCAGCTAGCTGGGGAAAACCATGCCACCCGAAATGTCTGTGACTTCTAGCCAACACTGCTAATTTTTAAAATGGCTGTTTTCCTTTTATGTGTATGGATGTTTGGCCTGCATGTATGTCTGTGTGCTACTAGCTTGTCTGGAGCTGCAGAGGCCAGAAATATTGGATCGCTTGAGACTGGAGTTACTGATGGTTTGAGCCGCCATATGGGTGCCGGGAATTGAATTTAGGTCCTCTGGAGGAGACATCAGTGATCCTAACTGCTGGCTTTGTTCCAGTCCTGTTTTTTGTTTATTTTTTAGTATCAGGAATTAACTAGCACCTCACCTATGCTGGGAAAGCAGTGCGCCACGCATCTGTATCCCCAGGGCCTTTTGCTTTTTGAAATAGTCTCACCAAGTTGCTCAGGTTGGCCTTGAACTTGTAGTCCTCCTGCCTCAGCTTCCCAGTTACTCCAGCAATAATTCTCAGTTGGAATTAATAGACCTGTATCACTAGTGAGCTTCAACATTATTTTTCTTTTCTTTTTTTGTTTTTTGAGACAGGGTTTCTCTGTGTAGCCCTGGCTGTCCTGAAACTCACTCTGTAGACCAGGCTGGCTTCAGACTCAGAAAATCCACCTTGCCTCTGCCTCCTGAATGCTGGGATTAAAGCCGTGTGCCACCACTACCCAGATTATCTTGAGATTATTATTTTTTTATGTGGATGTGTAAGTATCTGTGGAAGTCAGAAGTGGCATCAGATCTCTTGGAGCTAGAGATCCAGGCAGTTCTGAACTGCCTGACGTGGGTGCTGGGAATCAGACTCTGGTTCCCTGGAAGAGTAGAAAGTGCTCTAAACCACTGAGCCACCTCTCCAGCACTATTTCTTTTCTAAGACAGGCTCTCACTGTGTAGACCAGGCTGTTCTCAAATATATAGCAAGCTTCCTGTGTCTGAGTGTACTGCCAGCATTCTATTTTCTTTTTATGTTGTGTGTATGCATATGTATGAGGACAAGTGTGGCGGTCAAGAGACAACTTGTAAGAGTCAGTTCTCTCCTTCCACCACAAGGGTCCTTGAGGTGGTGTAGGTGGGTCAAATCTAGGTCATCGGGCTTATGGGCCATTGCCTTTCGTGGCTGAGCCATCTCTTTTGTCCCAAGTTTTCTTATCCCAGTGTTATTGAGCAGGTGTTCCGTCAGCTAGGGTGCTATTTTAGGAAGAAAACAAGGAACCATTAGGTAAGGACTGTGCCTTGGAGCACACACTTCGTTAAGTTGAACAGGCCCAGTGCCTGCTTTGACACACAGAAGCAGGCTGCGGCGTTTCTCCCCGCTGTCACTAAGATCAGATGAACCCTGCTGTAGCCTCAGTGAGCCTATCTGCGTTCACCTTTGCATCCTCCCCAAGAAGTGATTGCCAGGGACGCAAAAGGGTATTCACTGGGTGTCCACTTGCTTGTTAGCACTTTTCTCCCTCAGGGTCGTTACCTTTTCTCTATAGCCCTAGATTTTCCTTCCGGTGGCTGCTTAACCTCCACAGCTCAGTTTCTTTTTCTTCTCTCTGCAGAAGCTCCGGGGAGAACTTGGAGACTTCTTTGTTGGCTGCATCTTCACAGCAGAACTGAGCACTCCCTTTGTGTCACTGGGCAGAGTTCTGATCCAGGTGTGTATGAGGGAAACAGCAGAGGTGCTGTAGGAGGGGACAGACCATACTCTGCCTTTGGAGAAGGGAGTCTGGAGAGATCGTAGTGCTGAGAGGAGACCCTTTTTACTTCATCATCCAAACCAGGTGGATGAGACTTTTGATCTGACCCGTTACACGCACACGCACACACGCACGCACACACACGTCAATTGTCGCAGTTTCCTGCCACAATTTAATCATTCTTACACACCTGTTAGAGAGGGTGGCTTAGGCTAAATTGAGCATCGGTCTTGGTAAAATTATGAGGTTAGATATGGTGGCTGAGGAAATAGCTCAGTGGGCAAGACAGCTTGCTACACAAGCACCCACTCAAGGCAGCAGCCATAATACTGGGCCAGAAGCAAGTGACAGCTAGGCATGGCTGGCTGAGTGTGAGGCCTAGCTGAAAGGGTGAGCTAGGGTTCACTGAGACCCTGTCTCTAGAGAGCGGGAGGAAGGCACCCAGCATCTTCTGGCCTCCGTAAGCACACACATGGGCTTATGTATCTGCTCGTGTGTGTACCCAGGTGCCAAGCAATTCAGCACCATAGGCCTTGACTTGTCCAAGGACCTGCGTGACTGTTGTAAGGCTGGCCTCCATGCCCTGATAACCTTGCATTCTCCTTCCTTTTCTTACAGCTAAAGCAGCAGCATACCCTTCTTTACAAGGTCAACGGAGTCCTCACGCTGACCACCTTCCTGTTCTGCCGGATCCTCCTTTTCCCCTTCATGTACTGGTCCTATGGCCAACACAAAGGACTAAGCCTGCTCCGAGTGCCATTTAATATCCCTTTACACTGCAACATGGCCAACGCCATCCTCATCTCCCCCCAGCTCTACTGGTTCTCACTGCTGTGCAAGAAGGCAGCCCGGCTCTTTGACACTGCCAAAGTCAGAAAGGATGGTTAACTACTCTCAGGTCAGACACACGAGCTGCCTCCTCTACTCAGTATTCCAAGGACCAAATCGTGCCTGGGGTAGTCTCTGCCTTCTGGATATTGATAAGCCTCTGGATTTGAGATTTTCTTTTTAAAAATCCCCGTTACCTTCCCCTCCTAACCTGCTCCTATTGCAAAAGCCCTTCTCCCACCTGGTGACAACTTGGATCCCGTCAAATAGTTTTAACACAAGCCCGAGGAGCCTTCCTCGGGCCTATGACAAGAGTTCTGGGAGGTGAGCACTGCTCTCCCCGTCTCCACCCACTCAGGGCAACACCCGTAGTACTGGGCCAGAAGCCAATGACAACTTGGTTCTTGACAGGGCCATTGTCCAACACTAGAAACGACACTGTGGTGTCCTAGACAGCCTAGTCCTCTCATCTGTACATCAACAATGAATTCCCGCCGACAATGGGCAAGACGCAGGGCTGAGAGCCTGAAGCACTTGAGGTCAGGAGGCCGGCAGAGGCCACTCCCTACCTTTGCCGGCTGACTTGGTATAGAGCAGTATCAAACTTGTGAGCTTGTTGCAAGCAGTCACCAACACTATTCTCTTTTCAGCATGGCCTCTCATACCCGGTTTTCTCTGTGTCCGCACATTGGAAGCTGGCCTAAAACTCCAGGAACAAAGTGAAGTGATGGCTTCTGCAGAGGTTTACTGGGTCATCTCGCCGCCACTCTCATACAGAGTGGATACAGATGTCTGCACTCCAACCCGAGGTCTCACGTAGGCCAGTGCCTCCAGCGCTTCCTGGTTAACAGACCCATTTCCGTGTTGAATGTGCATTTGGTCACGGAAGGCTAGGGAGCAGGCGCAGTCAGGCTGGCTGGAGCAAGCCTTGTGGACCAATGCCGTTAGCTGTGTGCAGTTGGATGCGGTGTGGCACTGACCGTCCCTCACCACAGGCTGGGTCTGAGGACCTGCTGCCACTTCAGGTAGCAGCGGAAACACTACAAGTGCCTTATAATCCACCGTGCGTGTACTTCTAAAGGACTGGATGGTTATGGCTCAGACTTTGAGTTTCAGTCTTTAATAGGTGCCATTTAAAAAACAAAAATGGTTTTGTGTTTTTTCTTTTGTTTACTGTCAGTGTATCCACAAGTGATTAAATTGCACTAAACTCTCTACATGTTAAGTGCACTGGTGCCGACTTCCTCAAACACGCTGTGTGGCCTCCAGGCAGGTCTTACTCATACCTTAGTCCAACATGTTGGTTCAAAGTCCCAAAGGCTAGAGGGACGATGCCGAGCTCAAGCTCAGTGTTCATGTGTAACTTGGGGTTTGTTCTTCCTCTGGTAAATCCCGGTTGGGAGGGTAGAAGCCTGCCTGTTGACCACGGAACAGCTTATACTAGGTGGGAGAAGAGCACCCGAGTAGTAGACTTCAAATGAGGGTGTGGACATGCAGGTGATGAGATCTTTTCTCTCCTCTCCCTAACCAATACTAAGAGTTGTGTAATACTAACCTAGAAACCTTATGCTTTCATTTTTATGCTTCCGCACACAGGACTGCCCATGCCACTCATTCATCAAAACCAAGACAACCCCACCCTCCGAGGGTATCAGCTGTCCCCAGCCCCTGCCTTACAACAGCCTCTCCTGGGTGTGCTGCGTCGATGGTCACTACCTGCTTAACAGTGTTTTGGTTCAGTCCTTTGTTGGCACACAAGTCACAACCAGTGCTGAGTGAGCCCCTCTTCACATGAGCCCTTTTTGAGATAACCTTGGAAAAAGGATGAAATACTAAAATGCTTGCTAGCAGCCAAGGCTGGCCTTGAATTAAGCCTTCTACTTAGCCACCCAAATGCTGAGATCATAGGGATGTGGTACTCCCAAACCTGGCTGAAAATAATGTAATTTTTCTTTTTTTCCTAAAAGGTAGCTCCACCTTTGGGCTTACTTGCCAAACCTAGGTGGAGAATTTCAGTTACAAACATGTTCCTCCCCAGCCGGGCTTGTTTTTTTTTTTTTTTTTTTTTTAACTTTCGGATCTTACTATGTAGTCCGGGCTGCTAGCCTCTGCCTGAGCCTCTTGAAGGCTGGTGTTTACAGCTGTGTACTCCCACACCTGCCCTACTGGCTTGACTTGATCTTAAGACTACCTAGACCTAACTTTGGAGCATATTTAAGCTGACTTCTGAGAAAGGCAAGATTAAACCCAAAAGCATTTTATTGTAGTAGTATATGATAGACATCTAAAACTATTTTCTTTATACTCTTGTAATGTATTCCTTTCATTGTGTGTGCATTCTCACAGAACTGTAAGGTTTGTTCTCAGCTCTAGGCCCTGCAGAAACACCATGTTGGAGGTACTGCTTTTTCTTGCCCTCCAAAGGTCAGAAGTTGCTGATCTTCTGTAGCAGGGTTTGGCGACGATCCTCTGAGCTAATGTTCTTGGCGATAGACTTTAGGAAGCGCTGCTCATCTACCTTTTGGAGCAAGGAGCTGACAGAAGGGTTAGTCTTGCTTAGGGTTTCATAGCAAGTAAGGATTTCCAAGGCCAGCACATAAAGGGGCTCACAGACCTCCTGAGGGAGCATGGCCATGATATGCAGAACATGACAGAACATCTGGGTATACACAAACAAGGTTTCCTGAGTCAGATCCCCTTCTTGTCCCTTGGCCCAGGGACCCACTGACTGTATCAACCTGACTGCATCCAGTACATTGGTCAGACTGCTACAGATGAGTTTGACCACATGGCTCCAACCGTCTATAGGAAGCCAGTTACAACAGCTCTGGCTGCAGAGAAACTGGAAAGATCTCAAAGAGAGAACTGAGAGCTGAAGTTCCTGGGCAAAAGGCTTTAAGTTGAGCAGGGGAACAAATTGAATATATTCTAGGCTGTAGGGGACATGAAGGAGCTGCTTCTCTAACAGCTTCCTGGTCAGCTGCTGAAGGTACTGCCATTCCTGGGGGCTGCACCAAGGCATGACCTGAACCAGGGCCACCAGAAAGCCCTTGCTAAACAACCTGACCTCCTCAGGGTTGCCCACATCCACCACCAGGAGGGAAAGCATTTGTTCAGAGACACTGCTGGAGATGGAGCAGCACTCCATCCAGGCAAGCAGCCCTGTGCCGGACCCATACCCTTCGTGGGCCCGTGAGGTCCACTGAGCCTCAGAGAGCTTACAGATCTCAAAAAGGGTGGCCGGCACTTCACATTTGAAGTGGCCTTCAAAGAAGCTCTTCAGTCTCAGGCCTACAGTCCAGTCTAGCTGGTCTAATTTGCGGTGGAGCCAGGACAGGGACTTGGCCCAGGTGTCTGGGGAGAAGGTCTCTGTGTTGGCTAGCACAATCTCACAGAGGAGCTCTAGGATGTGGGTCACAAGATCCTTGCTGTCCAGAGTGAGGCAGCGCTTCTCCCGGGGGAGCTGCCAGAACTTGCTGAAGCTGTCCAGGAGGCGGCACAAGCTGAAGAGCAGTGGGAATGGGGAGCAGGTTTGCAGCCAGTACTCTTCCAAGCCCGCATTGGCTTCAAGGGTCTGGACCAAGAGCTTCAGGCTCAGGCCCACCTCCTCCATGTCCAGCATCAAGAACGGCAAGACAAACTCCTTCAGTACCTCATCTGGCTCCAGAAGAGCAGCAACTGGAATCCCTTGTGGTTTCACAGGGTTCATCAGGCAGCTCACCAGCTCCAGAAACTGCTTCTCTTCTTTGGGTGTGGAGAACTTTGTCCAGACAGTTTCTTTGAGGCAGGACACCATGAAACTGGTGTGTGGATTTGGCCCTTGTTCTTCTGTGGACTTCAGGGCAGGGAAGGCAGTGAGTATCTGAGCCAGGAACCTGTGTGTGCCAAGATTGATCACAGCTGTGCTGCACATCTTTTTCACCACAACTTCTGGGTTCAGGATCACCAGGCGGGCCACGGAGGCCACTGCTTTAGCCAGGCCCTGTTCAGAGGTGCTCTGTGCGAGCTGGTTGAACGCTGTGTTGAGGTCTTCCTGAAAACCCTCCAAGTAAACAGACAGTGTGTCTGAGAGGCCCTTTGGCCCCCAGCACTGCAGGATGCCAGAAAGGACTTTATTTTTGTCTGGTAGGGAGAGCTCTGCGTAGCATTCCAGGGTCAAGCAGATCACCTGCTTGATCTGAGAATGGGGGATAACCCTGTTAGAATTGATGACTTCCATTATCGTTTCCAGCAGACTTAAGACCAAGTCTGGTTCTCTGAACAGAGACCTATTGTTGACCAGACAGGCGACCCACTCATCTGAAAAGGCCCACTTCTTCTCAGAGGCAAAAATGTAGCACATTTCCATGTGCCGGTCCATCTTCCGTTCAATGATGGCCATGGCAATGGCCGCAGTGATGTCCTCAAGGCCCTTGTCACTCAGCACTCTGCTGGTCTTCCTCAGGAAGTCCCTGACACACTCAGCCAGTTCAGAGACTACCTGCCTCTCCTCCTTGGACATGCTGGCAGTATCCAGGTAGAGCTTCAAGTTCTGGCTAAAGGAAGTCAGACTGTCACACAGCCGGTAGGTATCATAATTTGTCCCCTGACTGCTGTTGAGCATGCTCTGCAGTTCTGCACCCCACTCCTGCAGCAAGTTGTGCATCAGCTCAAACCCCATGAAAACAGTCTCGCTAGGGAGTTTGGCCAGTGAGGTGAGGCTCACGTCCCGCTCTGCCTCCTTGACCTTGTCTGCCAGGGCCTGTTTATGGTACGGGTTCTGGGTGTCTGAATTCCACACAGAGATCACTGTGGCTAGCTTGTCTAGGTACACGGTGGCAGACACCTCCTGGGGGTCATCCTCCATCAGTGCAAACACACTCAGCATGTCAGCCAAGTTAGCTAATGCGCAGCACTTCATCCCGAGGCACAGGATTCTCTTCTGGATCTGCTTCAGCCCACTAAGCAGCATGGCCAAAAGTGGCATGGTGGGACCTACATCTGGGTCAGACTTAAACCTCTTTGGAGGGTGGGAAAACTCATCTGAAGACGGCAAGTATTTATGAGCCATCGTCCTGAACTGGGAAAGCAAAGGGTCCTGCTCATCGCCCTTGTGCTTCATCATTTCCCACCAGACATCCAGGAAGAAGGCCACATCCTTGGAAGAAGTGTCAACAGTCATGTGCTCCAGAAAGCTCTGTAGTTCTGAGCGGCAGATGGTGGTGGGCAGGGCCATCAGGAGCTGAATGAAGAGCCCGGAAGCTTCCAGAGACTTGAGCAGCTCAAAAAGGACTGTGCGGTTGATGTTAGGGATCATGTTGCCCACGGAGAAGAACACATCTTCCTGCCACCGAGTGTCCGTGTCAGAAGGGCTGACAGGGCAGGGCTGAAGGACCTTGGCCCAGATGATGATCAGTGCTTTCTTCTTCCAGGCAAATGGCTGGGAATGTGCTGTGGCTGAGGAGATCTCCTTCAAGGCCTCCACAATGGGCCTCCCGACATGTTCCCAGTCAGACTTTGTCAACTGTACCAGTGCTTTGGGGTGGAACAGCTGCTCAGCCATCAAGAAGCCTCCATGTAGAATAGTCATTTCCTCACAGATATTCAAGGGTCCTACACAGAGAAGCCAAGAGTTAATGAAGTTTTCAGAATAGTAAATGGCTAAGAAAAAACAGCCATTAGATGGCTGTCATTTTCAAGGTTAGAGAAGACCATGATATCAATGGGAGAGGGAGAGGCCTGACTCCCAAAGAGCTGGGGTCACAAGGACGTGACTAAGGAATAAAAACCGGTTTCCAAGACCAGGATTCAGAGCAAGCTTTTAAGTTTCTTTTTAAAAGATTTTAATTATGTCCATGTTTACGTACTTGTGTGGGGTTCGTACGAGTGAATGCAGGATGCAGAGGCCGGAAGACGGAGCTGGAGTTACAGGGGGTCGCGCCAGCTGGTGTGGCTGCTAGAAACTAAACTCTGACCCTCTACAAGAATCATGTACTCTAGACCACGAGTTGTATCGCCAGACCCTTAAGACAGGCTTAAAGAAAGATGAGTTTGGTTTTGGTTACCTGAGTCTGAGGTAGAACATTTAGTCACATCTTTCAGCAATGGCAAGGAGTGAGTACAGGCAGTGCCAACCCAGAGAAGTTCATGAAAATCAAAACAGTGACTAAGCTCACTCAGCCAAGTGTGAAGAGCACAGCTGGACTGCTGAGGTTACAGTGGGTAGAGGAGTGAGGGAAATAACACCAAGCATGAAACAGAAGACATGACAAAGGCCAGTGACATGGCTCAGTGACTAAATACATCTGCCACCGTGCCTGACGACCTGAGTTTGAGCCCTAGAACTCATCTGGCACGAGAGAACCAACCTCTGCAAGCTGTCTTCTGCCCTCCACTTGTGCACCATGGCACCTACACCCACATAAGGAATGTAATAATAAAAAGCAACAACAACAAAAAACTAAACAAAACTCAGTTAATTGAAATCAGACTTTAGAGGACCTAATTGGCACTCTTTGGTTTTTGTTTACTGTTTTACTTTAGTTTTTTTCTTGTTGACACAGGGTCTCACTATGAACTGGCTGGCTTTGAACTCGCTGAGATCTGCCTGCCTCTGCGACTGAGTGCTGGGATTAAAGGTCTATGCCACCATACCCAGATAAACCTGTTTTTAGTCCAGAGCCTTGCATATACCAGGCATGCACTCTACCACTGAGCTGTATCCCAAGCCCTTTTTTATTTTTCATTTTTTGAATAGGGTTTCTCTGTGTAGCCTTGGCTGTCCTGTCCAGCTTTGTAGACCAAGCTGGCCTTGAACTCACAGAGATCTGCCTGTCTCTGCCTCCCAAGTGCTGGGATTACAGGGGTACACCACCATGCCCCGCTGCCTTCCTTCTTTCTAAACATTCCTGCTAGCAAGTTTCAATATTCTGTACGTTGCAGTGAAAATATTCACCCAGCAGTTTCTTCTCATCAAAAGGGACAAGCTAGTGACAGTTCTGGCTCTGTGGCAAGAAGCAGGGAGTGCTTCAATAAATGCTCCATCAGGAAAGCAGTTCACTCATTCACTGAGCTAACATGAATCAGACAAGACATTTAAATGAAGGCAAGATGAGGGTTTAATCAGATAATGGATTTAGATCCTAGCTCAGTCACTCAAAAATGATGTGACCTGCTGGGTGGTGTGGGCACACCTCTAATCCCGGTACAGCAGTGGATCTCTTAAGTTTGAGACCAACCTGCTCTACAGAGGGTGTTCCAGGACAGCCAGGGCTACACAGACGCTGTCTCAAAAATGTAAACAAAAACTATGTGACTTTACACACATTACTGAGCCTCCCCCTCTGCACACATGAGAATCACATGGACATACACTAATCATACCCTTATAACTACTCTGGTACTGTTACCTTATTGAAACATCTCCCAGGAGGGAAGAATGGAAGGGTTACATAGATATCTTAACAAGAATCAGACCATCAAAAGCCTGATGTAAATGTTGGTGGGACCAGTCTTGTCACTATTATCAACTCTGTTGTAGAAACAAAAGGGCACAGGTCTTTATCAACGCCTGTAATTTGGCCTAGAAACTAAGAGTGCAACAAGTGGTCATGGCCACTGATCCTGACTGCCTCAGCCCCTTCCCAGGACACATAGATACCTAGCTCTTCCTTTGGTCCCCCATGCTCCCAGGAATGCTCCCCATTCTCATAGGCCAGAGTCAGCAGCCAAAATACTGACTCCACTGGCTTGTTGTGGTGGCCTATTTCTTTAATCCCAGACTAGGCAAGGCTACATACATCATGTCACCCTGTCTCAAACTTCCCCAACCCCCAGAAAAAAATTACTGACTCTAGGCAACTAAACAATCTCCTGGCCACTACCCCCCCCCCCAAAAAAAAAAAAAAAAAAAAAAAAAAAAAAAAAAAAAAAAAAAAGAACAAAGATCAGCATTCCTACAAAACCAGGGCCTGAAGGCAATCCACCTTGGCTTCCACATGGCAGCCAGGCTCAAAGCTACACTACATTGGCAGGGTTCTTTCTGGGGTTGTTCTACCTGCCCCAAACACACTCCCTTATGACTGAACATTCAATTACATTTATCAGCTTAACTGAGCCGATGTCTGCCGCCAAAATGTGCCCTTCAGACTCTGTGTACATGCAGTTTGAAAAAGTCCCAGACTCAGTTAATAGCTAGGAGAAACTCAAAGGCTTATCAGTAGCTGGTGCTAGGAAGTGACTGCTTACTCTGGTAGGCACTGGGCTTGGTGGCACACTTTTTTTTTCCTGAGATAGGACCTTGTTATGTACCTGGAACCGACTTGAAACTGTACAGACCAGGTTGGCCTAGAAGTCAAGATCCTCCTGCATCTACCTCCAGAGTGGTTGGGCATGAGACACCACACCCAGCTTTACACCTATAAAACCATCTCATCCTCAAACTAACTTCTTGAGGGTTATCACTCCTGGCACCTGGAGGCCCAGACACAATTTTGCAGGGTGTCTCAAACAGTGGAGTCAAGCCGTGGCAGAACTCTTCGCAGCTGCGGGGCACGAAACTACCATTCACACTAAGGAACTGGCTAGATACAAAGACATTTATTTCTCCACAGCGTATTATTTGCAAATCTTGGAGTACCTCCCAGGACAGCCTACCTGTCTTACCCTCTAAAGAGCACACCTAGCAGGGCGGGGAGGCTTGGCAGATGGCCACAGATTTGTATCAACGCCGCTCTCCTTCCAGAGCTCGCCTAGGAGCAGACTCCAAACCAAGCAGCACTCGGGATTCAAAACGTGCCATCTCGGCTGCTGCAACCCCTGCTCGCAAGCAAGGGCTGAGGAGCACCGCTGTGCGCAAGTCACTGTAAGGCGCCTTGCTATGCACGTGGTCGCAAAGAAAACGCCAAGCCTCTGGGAGGAAGACAGTACCAGCATCTCTGCTTTATGCACCAGGAGACCTGCTAGGAAACTTGTTCATTAACTCGGCAGTCATTCAAAGAGGAAGAACGGTCCGGACGTCCGTCCCTCCCAGCCCGGCATTTCCGAAACACGTGCCCTGTGTACGTTCAGGGATTCAAGGCTACATTTCGCTCGCGGTTTTGCAGCGGGAAGAGACCGCAAGGCCCGGAGGAGGGATCGAGGAGACCACCGCGAGGCGGAGCTGCAGGCTGGAGGCCGGCCTCGCAGCCGCAGGCCCCCCAACCTCCTCAAGACCCCAGCCTCCCGAGCCGGCTCGGGAGAGCGCCGCTGGAGCAGCGCGTGGCCTCGGCCCGCCCTGGAGGTGCTTTTGCGGGGCGCGGCCAAAGGGCCGGAGTAGGGAAGCGCGAACCCACCTAGGTCCATGGCGGCGACGCTGGCGGCGGGTTAGGCCGCCCCTCCCACTCCGAGGCCGCGAACGCAGCGCCCGCGCCACGGCACAAAGGGCGGCGCTACAGGCGCGTCACAGGCCCCGCCCACAGCCCGCCTCCGCTTCCGTGCGCTACTCCGCGGACCCGCTACTGCCCAGTGCGCACGCGTCCTCCTCTCCATCAAGCTCGCGGCGTCAAGGCCGCCCAGACCCACAGCGCCCTCTCTCGGCCTAAACTTCCCAGCCGTCTACTCACAGGTACAGTGGGCAGGCTCCATGGCTTCTTGAGGCCAGTAGGACCACTCCCTTAGTCCAGACCCCTTATTCATCCCGGGCAGCGCCCGCCCACGATTGACCCATGAGGAATGGCCTTTCCCGGGCTACCTGCTGACTGCTAGCGGATCCATGAGATTCACTTCTCTTCGTCCAGCCTCAGAGACACCCCAAATACCCTTATATGCTTTTCATGCTGCACTGTCTTCTATGGGCAACAGCAGCGTCACCTTTCAGGGCTCATAGGTGCCTTTATGACTCTGAAGGCCAGTCACATTGGAAAAAAGCACTGTGGGACAGGACCAACAGAATGGATTCCTGGTCTGCAGCCTGTACCCTGTTCAAACACTCACAAACGCCCTGTGTTCTTCCCACATATTATCTCTTTGCCCTCTCCTTCCAAGGCCTGCTCCGCTTATTTCCAACTCTCTTCTAGTACCAGGTATCACTTAGAACAGAGAGGCACAGCCTCGGGTGCACCAATGAGCCAAATGGAGTTTGAAATGGCCTGCGCTTCGCTCAAGCAGCTGAAGGGTCCTCTGAGCGATCAGGAGAAACTGCTAGTGTACAGCTTCTACAAGCAGGCCACTCAGGGAGACTGTAACATCCCTGTCCCTCCAGCCACAGATGTGAAAGCAAAGGCCAAATGGGAGGCGTGGAATGTGAACAAAGGGATGTCCAAGATGGATGCCATGAGGATCTACATTGCCAAGGTGGAAGAGCTGAAGAAAAATGAGCCCTGCTAAGGACATTTTGGCAGACACAAGGAAGTAGCATGGCCCCACTGGTAGGGAATGGTTCATTCCTGCTCCTGACAGCTGAAATGCATTGAAAGGGTAGCAAGGTTAGCGGAGACATCAATAAATCACTTGGAACAGCATGAAGGTGGAGTCTGTTGCAAAAGAGAAACTTTGTGAGGGTTCTGAAGAGGTGTTCAAATGTGTACAAGCATTTCTGTGCTGGGTGAAACTCCATTAATCTGGCTTTGTGTGGTCTGACTGGCATCATTAGCCTTCCTAATCTCACAGCCTATGTGGATATTTGGCAGAAAGCAGGGATGGGTGAATCATGCTATGAAAATGACCAAGGTTGGAAGTGGAGGCAGGGCCTTGGATCTGTATCATCAAGGGCTGTAAACTCACAAGAAACCAACAGCCCTCGCCTAGGGCACAGGCCAGTGAAGTTAGTGTTGGGATGGAACTTTGAGTGACACGGTGAAGTAACTGATGCATCCCAACACAGCAGCTGAGGGGCAATGAGCAGGATGGTTCAGAATCTCAGCATCTGAAAGTCCTCTAAGGCTTAGCAACCTACATGTCCTTGGGAGTACAGTTCTTACCCTAGGTGCCTGCTTGGGGCCCTGAGATGGGCAATATGTAGACAGGCACATGTGGCTCATGCAAGTACCAGGGTACCCTGCCGGTCATTTCTGAGGCATGAGTGTGCCACCACTGCGACTAGAAGCTGGCATATGGGGTGCTAAGTAGACTGCTCAAAGAACTGCAGTAGCATGGCATTTTCCAGTATTTTATCTCAAAATCTGTCTTCCATCTGAGGTGCAGCCACCTGCCTAGCATGTGTGAGCCTCTGGGTTTGATCCCTAACAAATCTGTCCACATAACGAAGTTTCTATGGGTAATTTCTTTCTTTCTTTTTGGTTACTGTGGTTCCTGGGAGAGGGTCTGGCTGGTCTGGAATTCACTGTGTACACCAGGCTGCCCTCAACTCACAGAGAGCCATCAGATTCTTCCTCCTGAGTGCTGGAATTACAAGCATGAGCCATCATGATAACTTTAAAGCATTTTTATTATTAGAATGTATTATTACTGTTTGGGAACTATGTGTGGAGGGGTGAGTGTACCAAGTGTGCATACAGAGGTTGGTTCCCACCTTTGACCTTTATATGGGTTCACATGATCAAGCTCAGGTTGCTAGGCTTTCGTGGCAAGTACCTTTTTCCTACAGAACTATCTTGTTGGCCCTATGGTCTTTTTTTTTTTTTTTTTTTTTTTTAAAGAAAGTTTCACTATGTAGCTCTGACTGCCCTCAAACTCATAGAGATATACTACCTCTGTCACCTGAACTGGGACTAAAGGTGTGTATGTGCCACCATAAATTTATATTTAAAAGACGTTATAAAATAAAGTACATCAAGCCAGGTGGTGGTGGTGCATGCCTGTAATCCCAGCACTCCAGGAAACAGAGGCAAGTGGATCTCTGTGAGTTCGAGGCCAGCCTGGTCTACAACACAAGTCCAGGACAGCCAAGGCTACACAGAAAAACCCTGTCTCAAAAAATGGAAAATAAATAAAACAAAATAAATATATATATATATCTGAGATGCATACTGATGCATACTAAAGACTATTACAGCTACAAGCTGGGTAAAGTCCACAGTAGAACAGAATGCTTCCCTCTGGTTCCCCTTGTACTATGGAATATCATACATGATTGGCACATGATCTCCCACTGAGCTACTGTCCTAGCTATCTTTTTCATTGTAATTTTGAAGCAGGGTTCCACTAAGTTGCCCAGAATAGCCTTGAACTCACTTTGTAGCCTTGAACTTATAACCCTCATGCCAGCCTCTTCGGTAGCTTGGATTACAGGCATGTGCCACTTGGTCCAGCAAGACCACTTTTTAAGAATTTCGTCTTTTATTTAAAAAAAAAATTCCACAAATTTGTATATGGATGACAGCTTTGGTGAGGCACACACTAATCCAATCACACCCACAAGACCTCCTCCACATGTCTTTAATGGTTACAACAGTCATTATTTTCTCCTCTAGCCTCTGGGTTTTTTTTTTTTTTTTTTTTTTAAGCAGGGTCCCTCTATGTAGCCTTGGTTGTTCTGGAACTGACCAGACTGACCTTAAACTCACAGAGATCCTCTGGCTTTTCCCTTATGCTGTGATTAAAGGTGTGTATCACTAAGCCAAGTTCTGTTTTCTTGTGAGTTAGAGGCTATACATAGTGAGTTCTAGACCAGCTGCATAACGAGACACTGTCTCAAAAACAAAAACCTCCATGTGATTCTAGAACCAGCCTTTCCAAAAAACTTTATTAACAAATACATCCAATAAAACTGTGGGGCTTTTGTTGTTGTTTTTGCTATTTTGAGACAGGGTTTCTCTATGTAACCCTGGCTGTCCTGGAACCCACTCTGTAGACCAGGCTGGCTGGTCACTCAGAGATTTGCCTGCTAAAATTGACTGAAAACAACTTCCTCTATCAACCCAAAAAGAAACTCAACAGAAAACATTTTTCAGGCTGAAGAAATAATTCATTTTAAAGAAGATTAAAACCATTTTATAAAGAAAGTAGTACAGAGCCAGGCACTCTGAAATGTGACTCACTGAATACTTTGTTCATTAGACACTTCCTGTTTTCTCTGGTTATTCAAAGTGTAAAATCAAGGCTAGGTGTGGTTAATCCCAGCACTCTTGAGGCAAAAAGCAGGCTGACCTGAATTCAAGGCCAGGCAGGAAGATTGAAAAGTTCAAACCACTGGGTATGGTGGCCTTCGCCTTTGCTTCTAGCAAGAGGCAGAGCAGGTGAGTTTCTGTGAGTTTGAGGCCAGTCTAGTTGACATAAAGAGTTCCAGGTTAGTCAGGGCTACAGAGCCAGACTCTTCTCAAGGGGAAAATGTTAAAAGCTCCCTTGAACTTCATGGTGAAGTGACAGGCTACCCTGAGCTATCAGGTGACTCTGTTTCAGAAAGCCAAAGGAAAAAAGTTTGAATGCCAAGACCTTCTATGGTAAGATAGTAGAACAATATCTATCAGGTCCTGGAAATATGAGCACTCTACACAGTTGGTTTGGCTTTTATTTTGTTTTGTTTTCTTTGGGACAGGGTCTTTGAAGTCCTGACTGTGACCTCAAACTCACAGAGATTTTCTTGCCTTTGCCTCCCACATGCTAGGACTAAAGGCAGGCGCCACCATGCCAGGCTGGTGTAGCTTAATTTGAACACTTGTTCCAATATTATCTACATGATTAACAGCTAATCAAATCTCCTTCCATCCCAAGTCTGGGGTAACGGCTGGACAATAATCTGTTACTAGATTTAATACAATTATAGTAGGAGTTCACCTCTACCAAGAATGATAAAAATAATATTTCATTTCTAAAACATAACAAAGCTTTGAAGAATGAAACTAACTCACAGGCCTCCTTGTCTATGCAGGACGCAATGAAGTGGTGGGAGCATTTCTCATAACAAATAAATGCTAGACAGATAACAGATGCTAGACTGGACTTGTAAGTGCTCCTCATGTGTCTTCTATTAACCGGAAGCCTTTGGTTTATTTCTTGTAGCAAACCACTCATCACTTTTGTCAGCTGCCATTGCCTATGGAAATAGATGGACAGATGTTATCCACAGATGTTACTCTGCATCCGCAATCTCCACCATGATATTAACATTGAAGCGAGTTCATCTGTGTAGAGAACATTGTTCACAATGCAGGAGACCTGGGGAGTACCAAGCAGTTACTTGGTGATTCATACTTGTAGCTGGTAGGAAGGCCTGGCTGTTGATGAAAGAGCTGTGTGTATGACTACAGGTGAAGAGTTTAAGTTAGCCTGGGTATAACTCCATTTTGAAATAAAGAGCCATCTTGACTGGGAGCTGAACTCAGGTACCAGGAAATATCACAGAATGAACACTTGGCAGACAACAAAGTTAACTTTCCTAACAACAACCTCCAGGAAATATCACAGAATAAGTACTTCATAGAAAATAGAGACAATCTCCCTGGCAATGATCAATGAGAATCGGTTGGGAATCGGCTAGGGAAATTCTCCCCAATGTTTCAGATATAGTTTAGAAGAATAGCCATTGTGATCATATGCTTTAGGCAATTGTGGTTATGTGCCTCAGAGAAGGTCACCTCAACCCTCTAACTTTTACCTAACCCAGTAATGTCAAGGCATGTGCCCCCCTGCTTGCTGTCATGGAAACCCCCTGCTCACAGACTTTTCTTTTAGAAATCCTGCTCACTCAGAGCTCAGGGTCCCACTTCTCTACTGCTGCGTCAGTGAGATTTGGGTCGGAGTTCAATCACTCTTGTAATAAAGCTCTCTTGCTACTGCATCGAGTTGTCTCCTGGTGGTCTCTGAGGGTCCCGTGATCCTGGCATTACACAGGGTGCTTAGGAGAACAGGAATCTTCAATTGCTTATGAGCTTAGTCTAAGACCTCGACTATATAAATGAATATAGTCCAGTTCAAGCCCCAGTACCACCACCAAAAACAGAGTATGCCACAGAGAAGCAAACATTTTAATCCCAGCACTCGGGAGGCAGAGGCAGAAAGCCTGGAAGTCCAGACTGGGAGTCCAGACCAGAGGCCAACCTGTTCTACAGAGTGGGTTCCAGGACAACCAAAGTTACACAGAGAAACCCTCTTTCGAAACAAACAAACAAACAAACAAACAAACAAACAAACAAACATGCCCATGAAGTCCTACCAGATTAAAAGGTAAGGAACAACTAAATGGTTGGAGAGTTAGTGTGTTCTTCTGTCTGATCTTAGCAACCTAGCACTTACTCTACATGAAAACACAAACAGCTATCCAGAATAATACACTCTAGTAGGTCTGTTAACCAGTTTCTTTGGTTTATTAAGGCGAGACCTTTCACCATCTTACCTCCAAGTCGTCCTTTTGCTCATTAACTTATTGAATGGGTGTGTGTATGTGAGGGTGCACACGCCCCAGTGCAGGGGTGAACTAGAGCAGTTTGCAGGGGTCCGTTCTCCTTCCATTGTGTGGGATGGGACTCAGGCTTGCCAGCAAGTACCGTTATCTCACCAGCCCACAGCTACTCTTTGTCATAACCAAACTGTTATTGTTGCTCTTTGGAGTT